ATTCTGGAAGGCATCTGAGCATAGGTCATTTTTTGTTATTTTATGATTTGCCTGTTTTAAGTGAAATTCTGAAAAGGAAGTACTGGAATCATCTATTTTTATTAGTTTTTGCAATGCACTCTCTGCTACAGGATGCCATCAAAGGGAGCCATGTGGATGTTGCAGAAAAGGCTCTACGAAAGTTTGTAATTAACTTTGAGAAACTATATGGCGCTGTCAATGTTTCTTTTAATATTAATTTTTTAATGCACTTGGCAGGAAGTGTGCGCAACTGGGGACCTCTGTGGGCAATATCCACATTTCCATTTGAATCGTTTAATGGAACATTGCTTAAGTTCTTCAATGGGACAACACATGTGCCAACTCAAATAGTGAAAAGATTTCTTAGGTGGAGAAGTCTCAATAAAGGCAGATATTACTATGGAAACTGCTGATGATGGTGTAAGGAAATTATTTGACAAACTACAAAGTAGCTGTAGCTTCAGACATAAATCAAAGCAGTTTTAAAATAATGTAAGAGGTTTTGGATGCCCTCTAAAAGGTAGGACATCTGTGTTACATAGGATGGCTATTGAACAATACATAGGAGTGAAAGTTCATTCAGGTTTCTTTTTTATGACCGTTTCATCTGTAGCAGTGTTTTATCATTCACATAACAACACTACCCTTAAAAAGAGAAATAATTCAGTAGTCCAGCTAATTGATGGAACAATATGTTGAATTATGACCCTTATTGCTTATATACCTGACAATGTGAACTCTTCAGCATCTCCTACAAATGACTTCTGTGTTATAGTTAAAGAGCTAGCTAAGGACAAAGGAAAGGTTTGTAGAGATGTCGAGCTTAACATATCATCCACATTTATAAATGAGGTGTCTCACACCAACAATGTCTTTGCTGTGAATCCTGACTCACCCCAACGTAAATGTGTGGTGGTTAACTTGAGAGACAAAATGTATGCCATTTTGTCTCTCAAAATGACATACATTTTGAGACAAAATGTCGTTTCAGCTCCTGTTTTACGACAGATTTAGGTTTTTAAACATTTTGAAAGACACACTTTAATGAAAGTATCTTAAAATATGTAGCTTATGTTATGTATGTTTGCACCGTTTCTTTATATTAATAAGAAACGGTGCAAAAAAGAAGTGTTTTTGTGACACTTCTTATGAAGTGTCACAAAGTTTATTTTATCTGTTCTGTTCTTGTGAAAGAGCCACACAATTTGATATTATGTGCTTTATGCATTCTTTTATTTCAATATAAAAAATGTATAATTACATTAATTTTGGAATTAATTATTCTTTTAATGTATAACATTTATTTTGCATACAATGTAACATGTTACCATCTCATTCGATAATGTTTGAGAGGCCACCTGATTAATAACGTTGTTGCACAACTTAGTTTCAATATTTTGCATTTTTTTCTGCATGTACTTTTATTTCCACATTGTGTTAGATTTAGAAATGAAAAAAGGAAATGTGAATTAAAGCTGCAATTGGTGTGCTTCAATTTAATAAATGTTTTACATGGGCTAGGTGTTTGTGCATTTATCAATATTGACATTGAGAAAAAAATTGTTTTAATATTTTACTAAACTACAAGCTTACTAAAAAGATACACTGATATTTAAATTAAAACATATTGAAATGTCAATATTTCTGTTTAATTGTAAAGTGTGTTAAGTGAATTTTAAAAAATTCTATTTTGAGCATATATTTTATAATACACACAACATGTATTTTAAATATACACTTGAGCAAGTGTACATTTACACTTGGGAAAATACATATTTTGTTCATTTAGAGTATACTTGTATTTAATATATCAAAAGTGTATTTTGGTACACTAAGTGCATTATAGGCAATACACTTAATACTTACAATTGTTAAAGTACACTAGGTTTAAAGTATACTTTTTTCACCTGGGCTCTTTTGTTTGAGGACAGAAGGGTGATGAGTTTTGACTATGGAATGTACATTGTTCATTACATTGAACATTTCATATGTACAATGTAATTACATATATAGTTGCATATGTAATTTCCTTACTGCATCCCATCACCTGTTTTTTTTTTTTTTCAACAGTTATGTCCTTTCATTGTATATTCACCAAAAATTGGTTAGACGCTGCTGATGGTAAGCAGCTGTGTGGCACACCATGTCAACCAGAGGGCGTAGCAGGATTTTATTCACTTTACAACAAAAAGCATTGTGGCTTTACTTGTAAGGTTGCACTTTACTTGTACCTGTTAACACCTGTTGCAAATCTATATCCCACAAAATGTCCTTTAGAGTTGTAGAAAGCTAATCCATCTGCTAAATAATCTGAAAATCCCACCAGTCTGTTATTTTCGTCATGTTGCATAATTCTGGGAAAATAGCCGCCTGTGTAATGGGAGGGGTTTTATCAACCACATTGAAGCTCCACTGGTCTTTAAATATAAGAGCTTCATATGTAGAAATGAGAAACAAGGCATTCCACCTGAAGGTAAGACATCCCTACTAATGTAGCTTTTGTTTGCTCTCAAAATAATTTTATTTTGGATTCTGGACTAAATCAAATGAACAGAGAATGTGTACACAAGTCCGTAGGAGTGAGATCATGATGATGAAAATAAGCCTTGAATATCACTTATACTTATTTAGTTTACAAGTCATGTAGATACAAAAGCAATGGCAGCATAAAAAGAGCATGCTTATATACTCTGAAAAGTACAAGTATTATGTTTAGCTGATCTTTAATTCAAAGTTTAAACCAAAACAATAGACATCTGATAACAGATTTTTTTTCAATCTTATCCTCAAAATTTTGGGTCATAATTACTCTTCCTGGCATGTACCTTTCATTAATCTCATGTATACTTTTAATTTAAATTGAACATGGGCTTCAGTCAGAATTTGCTTCTCTTCCACAGCGACTTTTAAGTCATGGTCTCCAACTTTCCTGTTGCGCTGCTGGTCCTGTGTGCTCTCAGCTTGGCTCAGGCCCAGCTAAGGCTTTTCAATCTTCGGGCCAGCGACCTTCCCTCTAACCTGCTTGGAACAGCTGACGGTTATGTCAAGGTGTTCTGTGGAGCAACCAGCCTGGGTAAGACTGCTGTTCGTAAAGACACAGCCAACCCCTGGTGGGAAGAGGAGTTCAACTACTTCCATGCTCTGGAAAATGATGAGATGATGCTTGAAGTGTATGACAATGACCTATTCTTTGATGACCTGGTGGGGGTCTGCCAGCGTCAGCTCCAGCCTGGAACCCATCAACTTGACTGCTTTCTTAAAAAAGGCGGCACACTTCACTATTCCTACACCCTTGGTTAACACAGCCAGTAGTCTTGTGTAGATATACATGACATACTGGTACAACATGCTCAACATCCATTATTCCCACTCATGGTATGTATGATGTGATATTGGCTCAGTGATTCCATGCCTCATCATGTAATACCAGATTCTTTAGCAAGAAAATACATTCTGGTCCTGTTGTCCAAAAGAATTAATCCTTGTTTCACCTTTTTACCACCAGTGAAAAATAAAAATACTACTGCAACAAAACTCTGCTTGATTATTCAAATTGATTCTGTGCAAAGCTGTTGTAAACATAGAATTAATAAAAAGTACATTTTGTTAACATGTTTATGTAAAAACACCTAAAAGGGTTGATTGGCCATTCTAACTTACCCTTGTTTTCTATGTGTTAATATGTGTGTGAATGGCTGGAAAAGTTGCCTTTTCCAGTGTAAATCCTGCCAGTCACCCACTGCTGGAAGACAGCAGCAGGAACCCCGAAACCTAGAAATAGTGTCGGCATGGAAAATGTATAGATTAATACTTTCTCAGTCAGCAGATCTCCTTTTTTTTTTTTTTTAATATACTTTATTTTTATTTGTTTTTAAACATACAAGTTACATACAATCAAACATGAGGGCTAGGGCAGGAAACAGACAGTCACACTGATGACCATTACAAGTTTATAGACATTTCACTGTATGGAGTCACAAAAAATAAACAGAGTGGAAAACTCCCAGGTGTCTGGGTGACATGGATCACAAAAATTAATTGTTACACACCTTTGGCTATAAAATGATACCATTTTTCCCAAAGTCTCTCTCCATTCTCCTTCTGGAGATGTATTGTAAAAGTCAACATTTCCATATTGTGGATCAGGTTTATAATATTCACAAGAAGCTTCAGAGAAGGGGGTCTAGGTTGGAGCCAACATTTAGTAATCGCCTTCTTGCTTGCAATCATAAATATTTTCAACAGGTCCTTATTACAGAGTCCTTCAGGGAGCATTCCGACCCTGGTGAAAAATTAGTGTACTAAGCAGGGGTGAAAGTAGTTTTAAATTCTTGGGAGTACTATGACAAAAAAAAAATAAAATAAAAAAAAAATAATAAAATATATATATATATATATATATATATATATATATATATATATCTTCTTTGTGTGCTTTGGAGTTTCTGTGCTGATAAATTTTTTTGCAAAGTGATAAAAGCTGGGCAGCTCTTGAATTGCTTCAGCCCACTGGCTGCAATGTTGTCATGATGAGATGCCATGAGACCTAAATTCTGAACATCATGGCACAGAGTGAATCCCGGTTTTCCATGTCTGGCATATAACCATACTGGTTCTATTGATCCTGTGTCCAGACAGAGGGATAATCAGTAGCCCAGCATCATGACCTGTTTCTTCTGAAGATCCTGCAGCTTCCACTTCTCTTCCTAACATGGCGCCTCCTCACCCTGAGTCTCATACTGACAGGAGGAACCACAGAGCTTTGTTAAGTTAAAAGCACATCTTCTGAAGTTGGGATATTTTTCCTTCAACAGGTTCCAGAGGAAACCTGATGTTGGACTGGATTTTATTTCACTGTCATTTGTGAACGTTAGAGCCTCATTTTCAACAGTGGAGCTATAAAGGTTGAAAAAGGTTATTATTTTGGAGAAAATCTCAACATCAATATTTCCACTAAATAAAAGGAAGAAAAAAAAGTTTGATAAAGGAAAAGCCTCTCAGATTCTGAGCCAGACAGCACCAAGCTATTTTCTTATATTAGACAATTAATTTAATTTGACATAATTATCGGGTAGAAGCCATTTGTTTGTTACTAAATGAAACATATTTACCGTGTTTGATGTTTCTTGTAAATGACAAAAAATCACGAAGAACGAGGTAATTAGTCCAAGTTTGTCGAATGTTCAGAAACTACAGCGGTTGTGAAGAGCCACAGCAAAGGTAAACAAAGGTAAAACAACCTGAACAGGTGATCAACTCTAAACCACTCGCACCTTTTAATTCCCTGTCTCTCTCTGTCGTTTAAGCACACCGTTGCTATGGCAACCTCCTGCGCTCCTCAAACCGACCAGAGATTATGTTAAAAACATAACATTCAGTCGTTACGTTATCAGGTTTTCAGGCTCTATATTTATTTTGCGATCATTAATAATCCTCCCTGAACACAGCGGAGGTTGATTAGTTCATTTTAAACTCCTGCTCTGCTCGTTATTTTGGTAATGGAACCGAAACTCACAGAATTGCGCAACACCTTGTTGAAACAATAATCACTGAGATTATTATTATTGTTGGGCCATTAATTAGAACACATTTTTGTTGTTGTTGTTGTTGTTCTTTAAGAAAGTTACGAACGTTTTAAGCCAATCAGAGGAGGACCTCCTGGTCTCAGCGTCCTGGCTGCATTCAGTTTGTCAACTAATGCCGAGATCTACTCAAAACCTTCCACGATCGACGTATTATTGGACTCCTGCTCTAGCAAAGCACGAACAGCTCAGAAACAATATGAAAAGGGAAAAAAAATATTTATTTACTGATTAAGACGTGTTTTAGATCGTTTTTGAAAAANGTCTTAAGTCTGGTTTAGACGGCAAGATTTAAGGATTGTTGGCCGATTCTCCAAACCTCTGTGACCACAGAGCTGATAAAAATACAATAGGTTGCAGGCACGTGTAGAGGGGGAACCTGGGGGTGCTTGAGCACCTGCCCTTTTTGCTCCTTGCCCCCAAGTGCCCTTTTGGTTAATTATTGTTTTTTTGTTTTTTTTTGTTGGTATTATTATTTCCTAAGCCCTCTTCAGACACATAAAAACATGTACTAAAATTATTTGCTTTTTCGTTTCTTTTTTGTACAACATAATAAGCCGGTAACCTTGTTACCTTTGACCTTTTGCCCGTGACCCATGACGCAAATGCCTCTAGCGCAGCGAGATAAGGCAGCTAACTGGAGCTGAACGTAGCGAACGTTCCAGATTACAGAACAGTTTTTGGTGAATTATATATATATATTAACGTTTTTGATGAATAAAGTGGAGTAGACTTGCTACTTGTCAGATGACAGAAAACACTGAAGTGTTTCTGCTTCAGCACGGAGTAGCGGTTTAAGCAGAGAGGTAACGAAATACAACAGACACTGACTGGCCTCTGCGTCTGCCTTTCTCTGAAGAACTACTGAGCGGGAGGAGACAGCCAGGTGAGGAAAAACTGTTCTGATCTATCGATTCAGTATTTTTATCATACAGACATTAGGCTGTTGTTGTTGTGCTATTAGCTAGCTGCTAGCTAACGACTTTGCTAGCAAAGCTAGAAACTGAAAAGCTTCTTCCCTGTGTATGAGGCACATCGCCCGTCCAAAACCGATCATCTCCATAATGGATATATGTCCGATCTTCTAATTTCCTTTGCTGCATAATGTACATCGCGTTTATTCTGGCGTTAAGTAAATGTATCTTGAAGGAGAATAGCACTTACATAAAAGTCCAACGAGGATATTCATTTAGAATTAAAAATAACTCACCCTGAATTACCATGATAGATATAATGTATGTCATAAATGAAGGGGAAAAAACTCAACCTAGACTTTAAGTTTAGGGTCTGGTTCGCAGAGTATGTAGTTAAATGTTTTCCCCAATTATTCAATGGGAAAAATAAACTAACCTCAGTTAAGTAAAATAAAATTAATCAAAACTTCTGGAATTGTAATGATTTCTTTTTTAAAAACAAATTGTTTTGTTTAAAACACTTTTTTAAATTAACTAATTTTTGTCTTGTGAACTTAAAAAGTTATTTGCCAAACATAAACTTTTATTTGCACGCATCAGAAATCTTTCGTTGCGACTTTGGGTATCACTTTATTTGAAGGTGGTTGAATAAGACTGACATGACACTGTCATAAACACCTGTCATGAACATGAATAAGCCTTCATGAATATTTATGACTGTTGTCATAAAGCGTCATTGGGTAAATTATGACACTTTTAATACAAAGTTGACATTATTCAAAATGTCTTTGTTATGACAACTTGACATTAACCAAGAAATCATTACTG